GATGTAAACTGATGTCAGCTTAAGGCCTCAAGCAAACTTGAAAATTCTGCGTTTGCTTATTGATTGTGAGCACAAGGAACGGTAGATGGATAGAAAACAAAAGAGCACTGGTGATCAGGTGTGAAGGGAGAGAACAGATGATTAAAACGCAGAAGCAGTTTCTGTTTCACTCACAGCTGTGATCAGTGGTTCCCTACAGCTAAGATGAATATTGAAACAAAGTTGTAAACTGAATTAATTCATGGAAAGCTGAGCTCATTAGATTCTGTTTTCTTTGGCTGAAGAATAGGAGCAGAATAAAAGGCAGCTGGATGAACGTTCAAGTCAAAGCAGGAAAGTTAGACATAATCAAAATGTCACTTTTGAATTCAGTAAATGTTGTAAAGCAGTTTCAGAGCACAAAACCCAAAATGATTCACAGGAGACCAGATTAGAAGGTAAGTGACTTTATTTACAGTGTGGAGAGGAATCCTCAAGGAAAAAGGACCTGCAGGAGGGCAGCAGAGTCTCTGTGTTCTCAGATAATCTTGAACACAATAATAATAATAATATCTTCAACACCATGATTCCCCAGACCCTGATGGACAAACTACTCACACTAGGACTAACCCCCTCCATATTCAACTGGGTTCTGAACTTCTTAACCAGACCTCAGTCTGTGAGAATCCACAACTTCTCCTCCTCCACCATAACCCTCAGCACTGGCTCCCCTCAGGGCTGTGTGTTGAGCCCCCTCCAGTTACAAATACTTGGGTGTGCACCTGAACGACAACTTCTGCAGGGGCAAAAAGCCTGATCAAGAAAGCTCATCAGAGACTCTACTTCCTCAGGCGGCTGAGGCGAGCTGGTCTGGGAAGCTCAGTCCTCACCTCCTTCTACCGGTGTGCAGTGGAGAACATCCTGTGCTCCAGCATCAACGTGTGGCATGGAGGCTGCACAGCTGCAGAAAGAAAAGCTTTGCAGAGAGTGGTGAAGGCTGCACAGAAGATGTTGGAGTCAGTCTCCCCATCATCACAGACATTTACACCTCCAGATGCAGGAAGAGGGCCACCTGCATCATGAAGGACCCCACTCACCCAGCACACACACTTTTCGCACCGCTCTCCTCAGGAAAGAGGTTGAGAAGCATTAAGTGTAGCACCACTAGACTGAGGAACAGCTTCTACCATGAGGCTGTTAGACTCATGAATCTCTAACCAGAATAATCACTGTAAGAAAACAAAGAAAATCACTGTAATGCCACTTTAATTGGCGATATGTGACTTATCTGTGCTGCTGATTATCCATGCTGCTGATCTCGTGCTGCTCTATTTATTTATACCCATCTGCTCACCACAGACTCACTGATGTTACGACGTATGTTTCACATTATTAGTGTGTAGCGTATATCTTATCTTAGATCCTTATTTACTGTTTCTTTTTACACTTTATGTTTTTGCCTTTGTTGGGCGTAACTGGGACTCTGAGTACATCATTTCGTTCCACCTCATGTACCACATGCGATGTGAACGACAGTAACATTAACTTGAACTTGAAGTTATTATAAGTCAGAAATAACTGTTAGTTATTGTGGTTTATTCTTCTTTACAGGTCCAGAGAGGGAGGTCACTAGGATTCCACGCTGACGGTCGGAGAGAGGAGTCTCGTGGTGTTGGTGGGGAGCAGGCTGCGGATTTGCTCTTGATTTCAGGGTGGTTTAATTTCAGGTTGGTTAAAAGATAAGAGCCACAGATCTGGCAAAAGCACCACAGAAGGAACAGGTTCAGTTGTTTCACGTGATTAGAGCAGTAGGTCAAACTTTAATTTCTAAGGAGACGTGCTGCGCTTAAAATAATCATTCACAGCAATCTTTGAAGATGAATCCTTTTATTAGACTGAAGCGTCTGCCAAGGGCATCGCTACAAACCTGACATTGCACAGCTACATTTTATAAAACATACTATTACTATAAAAATACTACATTTACAACAAGAGACTAAGGATCAAGCTTGTGAGCCTTGATAAGCTGAGGCATCAGTCTCATTGGTGCTTTTATTCGTTAATGTTTCTTTCCATGAACCCAAAATGAAAAACTGTTATTTAAAAAATTTCTAAAAAAAAAAAAAACAGATCACAATTGGAATCAAAATTTTGATTGGTTTCTTTGTAGTCAAACTGGCTGAATCAAAATCTTCAAGGCGATTTGACCTTTTATTCATTTATTTGATAAAAAAATAAAAACGGCTACAGAACGTGAGAAAAAAACGTAATTTTTGAAGATTTTTGACTCGGTCATCACAACATGAAACTAACAGTGATAGTATTTTTCAAGGCCCCTCAGGTTTTCTGTCAATCTTGTATTTTGTGCACGATAAACAGAAACAGAATAAAATAGAGCCGTAATGGAAAAAGATTTAATTGGTGTCAGTGCAGCAGAGCTGTCTTGCATCGTAACACCATCATACAGACTGAAGGAGGTTAAATACCTCTGATGACACACAAGCTCTCTTCAAACATGCTTTGATATTATATTCTTCTGGTGCTTTCATTTCTAAACCCCACTGATCATCGGTAATATCATTAAATCAGACAAAAAGCTCCTGTTGTGACCACTGCAATACTATTTTCAATCAGCAAATTAAGTGTATCATAAATGGATGCTCCTTCGGTGTGTCACATGGCAACAATTCTATTTTCTGTATTCTCAACAAACTTTAGACCAGACATCTAACAAGGTTGAGTCAGGTCATCTTGATGGATTCTTCTTTGTTGCAACGTTTCGTCTTTTATCCAAAAGCCTTCTTCAGTCTGAAACCCTGCAAGAAAGTCAGACATATAAATAACACCTTGTCAGAATGGACCAACCGGTTTTCTGCTGACGGCCAGAGCTAGTTGTTCGCATGCAACTGGAGGACCATAAGCCTAACAATAGATCGTTAGACCTTAGATCAAACAGTTTATTTAGTTATTTATTTTAAGTCAAGGTTCTTTATTGTCATTCTCATCACATGTGGTACATGTGGTGGAAAAAAACTGTGTACACAGCGTCCCAGTTACATCCAATAAAAGTATAAATTGTAAAGAAAAGCAGTAATAAGATCTAAGATATGAACTAAGAATACACTAAACACTAATAGTACAGAAACAGTATGCCAAAGAACAGCAGCACGAACATGAGTCTGTGTGAGCAGATGAGTATGAATGAACATAGCAGCATGAGATCAGCAGCATGGATAATCAGCAGCACATATCAACAATCAAAGTGGCATTACAGTGATTTTTTTTTTCACATTGATTACCCTGGTTAGAGATTCATGAGCCTAACAGCTTCAGGGTAGAAGCTGTTCCTCAGTCTAGAGGATCTACACTTAACCCATCAGTGTTTATATGGAAATTCACCAGATTATCTGAAGGACCTTCTTGCTCCATATTCATCCACCCGGTCCCTACGATCACAGAACAGTCATCTCCTCCACCTGCCACGAACTAAATTAAGAACCATGGGAGATTGGGCATTCTGTGTGGCTGCCCCCCCCCTCTGGAACTCCCTCCCTGAATATCTGAGAGCTCCACAATCATTGACTGACTTTAAAAAAGGCTTAAAGACTTTTCTTTTTAAGCAAGCCTATTCTGCCTCCACATGATTGTATCATTGATTTTAGTTGTTTGTATCATTGATTTTAGTTGATTTTATCACAGATTTTAGTTGATTTTATCACAGATTTTAGTTGATTTTATCATTGATTTTAGCTGATTGTATCATTGATTTTAGTTGATTTTATCACAGATTTTAGTTGATTTTATCATTGATTTTAGTTGCACTCTGTAGCACTTTGAGATTTTTGTTAATGAAAAGTGCGTTACAAATTAAATTCATTATTATTATTATTATTAATGCTCTTCAACCTCCTTCCGGAGGGGAGTGGGGCAACAAGTGTGTGTGCTGGGTGAGTGTGGTCCTTCATGATGCAGGTGGCCCTCTTCCTGCATCTGGAGGTGTAGATGTATGTGATGGTGGGGAGGCTGACTCCAACAGACTTCTGTGCTCTCTTCTTTGCAACAAAACATAAAAACAGTCACAAACGGTTGTTTTTGTTCTTCACCTGGATAAGAAACTGACGTTAAAAAGATGTTTTGGAAAAACAGAACTGAGCATAAAGTCGGCTCACATTAGATACACTTATCATATAACCCTCAAGTTATACTGTAATAAGAGCATGTAGGAACTGATATAGATTCTTTACAATAAACACTGAACTGGAACGGTTTTTCCTTTTGTCTGTCATAATTTTAGTTTTTATCTTTCTCTCTTGTGCTGGTAATTGTAGTGTTTGAATGGTGAAGGTATAACGAGCTTAGTTTACGTTACTTTTCTTTTGGTCTCTTCTCAAAGTCATAATCTGGTGATATTATAGAACTTTGTATTTTTAGAAACAGAACATGGATTTTCTCATTGCTGCAGGTACACTTATAATTTTTCAACAGATGAAGCCAAGGTGCAGCCACACTCCACAGAATATCAAGTCAAACGGCACAAACAGGTTTGTCGTATTCCAATAAGACGCTCCGCACTCCTCTGATCAGTTTCATTCACAGCTGAAAAGCAGAAGTTTCTTTTTCTGCTTTTTCACGTGCAGAACAGCAGTTTGGATCCCACCCAGTTTTACAGCATCAGCTATGAACATGTCAGGATCATTCTTGTAATTAATTCTCTAAGTTTAAAAAAATAGAACAAGGAAGTAAAGTCCGATGCAGTGTCCGTAAATGAATTGTTTGAGTTTGTCTCTGTGATAAAGAATGAGGAAGTTTCAGAGTAGTGACAAAAAAGGAAGCATACAGTCTCACATCGTCAGACAGGTGGACTCCTCTCAACACCAGCTGCTGTAAGATTTACATTTTACACAATTTGAACTTTCTTGTTGCTCCTCAGTTTACATTTACATTCTGATGTTGATGTATATTAATTGACTTAATTGTCTGCTTTGCCTCTGAATATTTTATTCAGGCTTTGCAGCAGTATAATGGATACAGCAGTGGCCCCGTGTCAAAATGTTTCTGTGGACAGTTTGTCAGGAGCGCTGACACATAGCTGCTCTGAGAACAACCTGACATTTATCTGTAAGTTTTGGGCTGGTCCCCTGCAGACGGGAGGGGATGAAAACTGTTGCGACAATGAGAATTCTGAGTCGGTGTCAGTCATCCTCCCTGCTCAGTGTAGCATCTACCAGCTGAGGCTGCGCATTTCTATGAAGGTATGTAACCCCAAACTGGAGGGTTTTATGCACCCCCAAAAAAGCTGTTTTTGCAACTAAATATGACACACCAAAAACACTCAGGGTTATTTCAAGAACATGGTTGTTTATATAAAGCTGTTGTGTCATGGACTGGATTGGTTTGACCAAATATTGGGTGAAAAGGTTTGACAGAGTGGTTGGGTCATGGAAGAGTCGTCACAGTTTCCATTTGAAGCCGGAAATTGACCAAATCAGATCTTACTGCAACGGTCCTCCGCTTTATGGATATAACATGAAATGCTAAAAAGGTAAAAACTCTTAAACGTATGTCCTGATGCATGCTCAATAATCCAGATAGAAAAATCTAGCAAAAGTTAAAGTCCTCTGGAAGAATTCTTCTTATTGAAGTGTTTCATCTTTTATCCAAAAGACTTCTTCAGTTTGAGGAGCTGCAATAAACTCAGTCTTATAAATAATACTTTCTCATAGTGAATCAACCAGTTTGATGGTGACAGCCAAAACTAGTGATTCATATGCAGGAGGACCATCAGCCTAACGACAGATCGTTAGTGCCGATAGCCGCCCAGGGCTATCAGGGCACTAACGATCCGTCGTTAGATTGATGGTTTTTATAAAGATTTATAAAGATCTTAAACATACCGTATTTTTCGGACTATAAGGCACACTTAAAATCCTTTAATTTTCTCAAAAATCGACAGTGAGTCTTAATCCAGTGCACCTTATCTATCAATTCTGGCTGTGCTTACTGACCTCGAGCCAATTTTATGTGGTACAACTGAACAACGCTGAGAGTTATTGTGAATGATTTAAATAAAGTTTGACTTATCTGACTGTTTTGTTTCACTTAATGCGCCTTATAATCCGGTGCGCCTTATAGTCCGAAAGATACGGTATGTTGAACCCGATTGGCTTTCTTAGTAACTTTGGCTTGCTCTAGGCAGCGAGTTTGGTTAAACTAACATTAGTACTAGCAAGCAGGTGCTGATAATGGTCGGTGTCATCTAGCTAACTAACCACTAACCCAAGGTGTAGTAACCAAGTAATTTTTGCTAGGGGAAAAAAAAAATGCTTTTACTCATGTTATATATTTTTAAAAGTAAGATGGTAAAGGCTGTATACTGTACACTCAAATGTTTGTTACTCTGCCTTCAGGCACAGGAAAAAGCGTGCCATCCTGACCCATTTGCAATCTTGGATTCAGAGAAGTACACCCTGCTGTATGCCAGGGGGGATGAGTGGTATGAGGCCTACGATGACTGTCAGATTATCAGGACATTAGATATCCCATGGTCACATAATGACTCTCAGTGTCTTTTGGCACAAATAGTTGTAAAACCCCTTGTTGCAGCTGATCCAGAGAAGAAGAAAAGACAAGAGCAGTGTTTAAACTACCTGATCGGACATGATCTGGAGAAAGAGGCTTCTGACCGACTTGGTGAACTCACATTCACCCGCAGGAAACTGGCATCTTCACGAAAGCACGAGCTGAAGAATCGAGACGAGATGTTGTACACCACAGAGCCCTGGATAACATGTGCGCCCATCCCAAACGAGCTTGAAGACTGGCTGAAAAGAAAGTTTTCTGTCACCGTCCACTACCTGAACAAGATCAGTTTTTGTGTGCAGGTTGATTCTAATGCAAGTCCAAATGTTCTTCTTCAAGTTTTCAGAAGCGTTGCGGCAGATAACGGAGTTGAATATGACACCTCTGATGGTCTGGTGTTGAAAGTCACGGGGAGGGAGGAGTTTTTTTCTGGTGACCATACCCTCATTGAGTTCCTCTGGGTTCGACACTGTTTGAAAACCAGTCAGGATATCCACCTCTCTGTGGTTCCTGTCTCACACCTTCCAGCCGAGACCATCACGCTTGTGGACTGGCCGCTTGTTGATAGCTTCAGCGGACAGTTCAGTTCTCACGAAGATCTGAGTCTCCAAGGCAAGGATTTGGATGACATCTTCATGATATCCTTGTGGGACTGTGAGAGAAAGCTCAGAGTCAAACTGCTTGGCTTTGATATCCCCAAACTGCCGAACAAACGGCCTCAGTCTGTTCACGTTGAAGCATCCATACTTTATGGTGGCAAGGTCCTCTCCTCCGTGTCCTCCAATCCCAAACCTTTTGCAGATGAGGTGATGTGGAACGAGTGGCTAGAGTTTGATATTCTTCTCAGGGATCTGCCACGTGGAGTCAAGCTTGGCTTTACCATTAACGCAAGTGCTACAGATATGTCTCCAACAACCAAGGACCCAAAGTCAACAGGAGTTCGAGACTCAAAGGGAACGTTGACCCTAGAATCAAAGCCACCATTGCTGTCGGCTAACAAAGCAGCGGACGCTCAGAAAGGAAAACAAAAGGTGCTCTACTTTGTCAACCTTCTTCTTATAGATCACAGGTGAGTTCATAACCATGGCTTTGTATGGATGTTTGATGTCAGTGTTAAAGACTTAACTGCGACAATTAAAAATCTGGAACTGTTTTATTGCCTGAAGTCCATCTTCGACTCAAATTAATCTTTAGTAAATCTTTAGTTTTCGTCCAATACTCTTTAAAAAGTTAGAGGTCGTTTTAAACAATTCATGTAGTCACATCCATCTCCCTTTCATTCTTTAAATCATTCAGATAGTTTAAAACATTTTCTGCTATGAGAAGCATGCGTTTGTAAAGTCTCTTCAAACTGGTTTTGATTTCATGAATAGTCATTTGATTGATTCTTATTTTATGTATTGTGATAATAGTTTAATGCTTTATTCTTCATCAACTGTATTTTGAACACCAGTAGTTTATTGTCACCAAAGGCCCATCCAGGGAGAAGCATTGCAAATTAGCATAGGCTATAAATGTTTTACTTTACTGTTAATATTTGTGGCTATACAAATAAACAATAAATGAAATGAAAGCAACAACAACAAAAAAAAAGATTTTAACAGCCTAAACTATTAACCATGGCCCTTTTTCTCTGTTTGGACTTGTGCTGTCATTTACAAACTTATGCATATTTAACTTAGGCCTACCTTTAAACTACAATGTCAAAATTGCTAAATTTACAAGCCATAACATGCATTGGTACATCTGAATGTTAAAGTTTGCTGGTGAAGATAAAATAAGATAAAACTATTGATCCTGCAGTAAGACATAAGACGTAAAGTTGAAAATTTATGTGAAAAATGAAATAATAATAATAATCTTAAAAAATGATCATGTTTCAAGAAAGACAGCTGGTGTGGCAGATACAAAACAATGTAACTAAGAGCACAAAACACAGACAAACCACAAACCAGACAGAATATGGAACCACAATGACAGACTGCAGATAAGAGAAGTTAGAGAGACTAAAAAGATAGGTGAGCTTGTGTTAAGACAGCTTAATGTGTCACAAGAACGGAATACCCAGAAGAAAGGACTGATCATGAACAACCCAGGCACAAAGAAGTCAATTCACTGCTTTTACTTACAGTGAGAAAAGAACTCTGGATTAAACTGGAACCCTGTGGAGTAAGGAGATGATTTAAATCCAGAGTCCAGCTCAGGAAGGGGTTACACAGAATGTGAGGTTTTCCCTTACTAATAGATGGTAGGTGAGCAGCTTGGTTCCAGAATCCATAACAGTCATGAGAAGGTCCAAGAAGCACTAGAGAGCATGGAGGCTGAAGATACAGGAGAGCAGCTGAAGGGGCACAGAGTTCCAGAGGTTCACATGGAAGCCGAGGCGCACAAGTGGATCACAAGCGGTTCCCTGGAAAGATCATATAAAAGGAATTAGTATTCACAAGGCACTAGTGCACATAAGAGTCTGAGAGCACGAACCATTGGCAGGGTAATGCTCCAGGGTCGAAGTAGTCAAAGCTTCTCGCCCAGGATCCTCATCAGAAATCATTGTCTGCAGCTGTGGGAGTATGGCGCCTTCTAGTGACCAAACACCGCAACTCCCATATAATGACAACAGGGAACAGGTGTAAGGGGTGATTCAAAGTGTTCATCATTGCACAAGTGTACAAACTATACGCTGGGGGAGAAGGTCAAAGACTGCTGTATATGCTACTCAGAACAGTTTTGTTGATACGCCCTGTATAACCAGCATGTGGCTGTTCTCCTGCGTGACAAAAGTCGACACACCGTCTGACGTACGGCGAGTCTCGGTGCAAACAGTAATCCCAAATGAGCGATCAGCAGCTCAGCTGCGAGCCCAAACTCACAAAGTTCTCTCTGTGAGAGAGTCCGTTCAGATGTTTGTAGTTTATCATAAATATCTGCAAGTCTGTACCTGTACGTCTTAAACCATTCGGAGACGTAAAAATATGGAACAACAACAATTTTACCTTAGTACTAGCATCCGTCACAGGTTCAACTCCCGGTACCGTCAACATCAAAATGTGGGTGGAAAAGATAAAACTCCCACACCTGCCTCCACCCTCATTTGCCCATGTTCCTAGACAGTGGACTCCATGTACTTGAAGTCCTGCACCTTTAGGACCTCTGCCCCTTTAGCCTCACTGTTCCACCTCCTCCCTCTCATTCACACACATGTACTCTGTCTTACTGCGGCTGACTTTCATTCCTCTTCTTTCAAGTACATACCTCCACCTCTCCAAGTTCTCTTCCACCTGTTCCTTGTTCTTGCCACAAATCACAATGAATCATCTGCAAACATCGTAGTCCATGGCCTGACCTGATCTGTTAGTCAGTCCATCACCAAAGCAAACAAGAAGGGGCTCAGAGCCGATCCTTGGTGCACTCCCACCTCCACCTTGAAGCTATCTGTCACTCCTACAGCACATCTCACTACTGTCCTGCTGTCCTCATACATGTCCTGTACCAGTCTAACATACTTCTCTGCAACTCCAGGTTTCCTCATGCAATACTACCTCCTCCCTCAGCACCCTGTCATAGTTTAGAGTTTCTTAGTAACAATAAGGGAGGAAAAATAGAAGAACGAAACAGCAGCATAAATATTCACACAGAGATTAAATCATTGAAAACTCACACAAGTAAATGATAAAACTTCCAGGTGACTATGATGGCACCAAACTATAAATGTGTCTACATGATGACCTTCTACAAACCTTTTCCAATGTTAACAGTTTAGCATTTTTCTTAAAAAAAATGAAATGTACTGTTCATAGTTGAATTTCTGGCACTTTTCTTAGTTTTAAATGTGTTAGGGTCAAAAGTTACTGCTGCGCCGCTGCATATTTAAATGCAATTAAAACATAAAATAAAAAGCATAAGGCAAAGCAGCTTTATTGCACAAACTTAACGTTTAGTCTTTCCTCTTTGGCTACAAAAGCTTCAGTTTTATCTTTGTTGAGCTGAGGAAAGTTCTGGCACATCTAGTGGTTCAATGCGCTCACTCAGTGCATGTACTGTAGTCCCTATACGTTGGAGTGACATAAAGCTGATGTTTATTTGAGGAAGGTTTTTACTTCCTGATTCACTGATTTTGGCTTTTGTCTCCTTCCTCATGCAAAATCATCTTCTTCTTTTTAACTTTGATGTGCACAGAATGGGACTCAACCTTGAGTCCTGATGACTCTGTGGTGTGTGTATAACGCAGTGGTGTAGTCTACATTTTTGTACTGGGTATGCTTAGAAACCGAAGTACACGGGTTAGTACAATGGAACCGTCAATTTATTTTGATTTTTAAGCACATTGAACATTTCCAAATTTCCCTGATGCTTATATTTGAATAAATGAGCAACAAACTTTGTGCAACAGTTGGCTTTGTATTAAAAACATATAGAATTTATTAAAAAGTATCAAAGCAAAACATGTTCAAGTATTAAGTAGTAATTACAGAAGTATTAATTATACAAAAACACCTTGAACCAACTCAATGTCTCTATAAAATGTTCCAAATGTGTTAAAAATGACACATGCCCAATAATATGTCATGTATCATTGGGCACTTTTAAGCGGGTATACTGAAATTCCCAAGCTTTTCTAATGGGTATACTCTGTATATCACATAGACTACACTACTGGTATAACGTATGCGACCAAAATAACATGAAATCCTAAATAACAAGCAGCCATCGTGAGACTGTTGTATCCCTGCAGGTCTGTCCTCAGCCAGGGCTCCCACACCCTGCACATGTGGTCCTACGCTGACCAGGAGGATGAGGCCATCACATACAAAGCAGACAAGTTGTCCTCTGCTACAAACCCAAACATCGCTGACTCCATGGCCATCAGCATCCTTTTAGACCGCTACAGCTTCCCTGTAGTTCTCCCGAACACCCTGAGCCACAGTGACGGTGCTAGGGATCCCACCTCTGGTCTTCCCCCAAACAAACCCATTGCCTCCTTTTCTGCATCACCCCAGACAACAGAATCTGACCCAGATTCTCTTTCTCCACAAATGAATAATCTTCAGGTCCCAAACATTGACACGAATACCATCAGACCCTCAACCCTAGTCAGTAACACCAAGAGGGCTTGCCTCAAAAGGTTTCGGAAGGAGAGCGTCCAATATGCCTCCAGCCTGCCCCACTTCTTGCGCAGCATTGATTGGATGGACCGCAGAGTGGTCGAGGACGTCCACTGGTTACTGGGAAACTGGGACCCTCGGGAACTGGACTTAACTGTGGCCTTGGAGTTGCTGAGCATAGACTTTGCAGATGAGACTGTCAGAAGACTAGCAGTGCAAAGACTGGAGACGCTGTCCAACGACGATGTGCTTAAATATCTGCTGCAGCTGGTGCAGGTATGGGTTGATGTTCAGTTGTTTCCATTCTGCCTGATAAATGGGTGTAAATGTGAACATTTTGTTTTAGAGAGAGACACCGACCAGGTCTTTCTGTCATCTTGATTACTTTTACAGACCTTGAAAGTGGAACCTTACCACGACAGTTTCCTGGCTCGATATCTGATCCAACGAGCTCTGCGGGTGAGTCCTGAAACATTTGCTTATTTGTTTAAAAATCAGCTCTTGTAATAGAAAATGACAGAGTGTAATTTAGCTTTTACATAAAGGATTTGGTTGTTAGGATGAATATATTAGTACTGAGCTTGGTGAAAATTTTAAATTATTAATAATAATTTCATACCAACACAATTAAAAAAATGTGTTGGTATGAAATTTCCTCACTTTTGTACAATTAATATTTGAACATGATAAAAAAATATATATTGTATTAAAAAAAGACTGAAAGAAAAAAGTCACATGATAATTTATTCAGAGTTACTGAAACTCACATTTAATTTCTAATTTTTTTCAACCTCCTAAAACAATTTAGGGAATAAAAAAATAAAAAAAAGAACGTCCCCCTTCCTTGACATGACGTAATGTATCTCCACAAACTATATTCCACTTTTTTATTTTTGTTTTTTCATACTACAATCTATTTTATTTCCATTATAAAATAAACATTTTAACCATTAACATAAAGTAATCGTTTAAAACAATTTCTAAAGTTTAATTCCACACCTACATTGTTACTTATTTATTTAATTGTGGGTTTTAGATGTATGGTGGTTGTACATGTCTGTGTATGTTTGTTTATTTTTATTTGTTTGTTTAAATATTTTACAGCACAACGTTTGACATATGGATATAACCAAATAACTGAACATTTACAATTTAGAAATTTCTATTTCCCTTTTATAAATTTGATCAGAAATAATCTGATATTACACTTTTGTATGAGTGTTTTAATTAAGGACTACATTTCCTTTGCACGGTCAAATAATTTTTATTTTTTTTAATGTCTAGCCCTAACATAAAAAAATAAAATAAAACAATAACGCTCTTCCTGTGGGCTGCAGTCACGTCTGTGCTCGTCATGTAAACTCTGTTCTGTTGCAGAGTAAGAGAATCGGCCACTTCTTCTTCTGGTACGTCCGCAGCGAGGTGGCAGGGTGTCCATACTTCTGCCAGCGCATGGCTGTGATTTTGGAGGCCTACCTGCTGGGGTGTGGTCAGGCCATGATTGACAGCTTCACCCAGCAGGTGCAGGCTGTGGAGGCCCTGGAGAAGGTGGCTCTAAACATCAAGAAACTCTACCCCGACAAAACTGATCTCCCTTCTACAGGTGAGAAGAACTCCTCAAGGACAGAAAAATAGTACTCCACTTTTCAGCACAGTGAGAAAAAAAAATAACTAACACTTGAAATGCTTTGACATGTTTAATGTTAGAAATTCTTAATGTTTTTCTTGGAATCTTTTAAAGCAAAATTCTAGACATCCTTTTCAAAAGTAATCTTCAGTTTTGATGGAACATCGTGAACTGTCTCAAATAACAACTCGAAAGCTCTGATTGTCCTGTCCACGCAACAAAATAACACAAATATCTAGATGCTGAAAAGCGTTTTTAAAAATTTAGCTGTGAAAATTTTAAATGAAGGCTTTGACCAAATACCATAAGGAATTCAATTCAGTTCAGTTTATTTCTGTAGAAGTCGTCTCAGGGCACTGAACAGAAACATTCACATACATTATACAAGCCAGTTCGTAAAAGTTCTGTATCTAAAGAAGCAGCAGGTTGTGTTGAATCTTCACTTCGTCGCAGTCTCCCATCCTGAGCGAGCACAAAGGAGACAGTGGAAAGAAAAAACTACATTTTAACAGGAAGAATCCTCCAGCAGAACCAGGCTCAGGACGAGTGGCCCTCTGCTTCGACCGGCTGGGTTTGAGACAGTATGCAACCTACCACTGTTTTTATTTTTATCTGATAGAAGCAATTGAAGCAACTAAAAAGTGGTCAAAAGATAAACTTAGAGGACTAGCAGAAGTTTAGCAAAAGTAAGAGCTCTGTCTGTTTGGGGCTTCAGCGCCCTGCGGGATCCCTGATATTTGTCTATCATGATCTCTCCAGTTCTATTCGCCAAACCCACAATGCTAAAATGTCAACAAATAAAATAAAAAAAACAGTTTTCCACTTTAATGCAGTTACAAGATGAAAAAGTGATACATTGTTACAAACGTGTGAGTGTTGTTCATGTTTTTCCCTTAGATGACTTTTGTTGTGAATTGGCACTTTATCAATAGACAGACTTTAACTGAAACGCATTGTACGTCAATAAATTGATTTTTACACTTTTTCTTCTTTAAAACAAAATATAAAATGGTGCCAGAGAACTTTCTTGATTCAGAAAATGTATAATTTCAACTCACTTGTCCAACAAGGCATCTTATCAACTCTCTTCTGTTGCTTTGGTCTATCAGTTTATTACAGGCAGATAAATGGTTCTTTTGATACATTCATTTTAATTTTTGTGTGAGTTTTACATTCAAAGAGGATCTGGTTAGACCAGCTTATTTAACTGGATCTGGCAAACAATCAGCTTAATATGTCTTAAATGTTAACATGTATAATTCACATCACATTCATGCTAAAGAGGTGCATCTTAATGAGTCGACACATTGCTTTTTTAAATCAAGATCTTTTTATTCTTTTACACAAACACAGCAAAGAGCAGAATCCCCTCCCGTCCCTCTCCACCTGCACTGAACCAGCCACACACACAAACGTCCCCACACAGGCATTGACATGTTCCCAACACATGACACAAAAGGCTGCCAGGTGTCCCAGAATCCCCCCACAGAACCCCCCCACCCCAGGGTATATTCAATACGTATCTTTTAAAAGTGCCCTTAATTATTCTGTTTGTTTTTGTTAGTTTTGCACATACATACATAGTAAATTAAATGAAACAAAGTAACAAGAAGAGTCAGCAGAAAGTCTTCCTTCTGCAAAATGTCTTTATATTTTTAAACCCATGCACACATTCTGTTGAAAGTTTCCAGAAAGTGTCTGCGTACAAGCAACATCAACTGATGGACAAAATACAGTCATTTGTTTTATCTTTGTAAATGTTTCTATTCATAAAAGTAATCAGTCTGTAACAGTAGAGAAAATCCCATTCTTCTTTAATTTGCTTAAAACAAATTCTGAGAACGTAATGGTGCTTCACAGCTGCTCCCAAGATCAAATAGTTTCTTTAAAACTCAGAACAAGTGCTTCCCAGCCATTTGTTTTTCATGGTCGAAAGAACGAGTTGCTTATATGTCATTTATTATAATTATTTGAATAAATGTGCCTCGATTGTTCTTGTTTTAGCTCCCCTCAAGCTACAGGAGCTTTTACGAACAAGCAGTCTGCCAGACGAGTTCCTGCTGCCCTTTGACCCCCGCATCAAAGTCGGAAGAATCCTGGTGGGTCAATAGTTTCTTTATGTTTTCAAAGAAGTGTATTGGAGTTTCATCATGATGTACATATTGTGTAACAATTAAATATATATTTATTTATTCATTTATTCATTCATTTAAATATATATGTTAAATATATGTATGCATGTACAGTATTGTTGCTTTTTTACACAACATTAAAATGTTGAAGGCATTTTATTATTCTTAATACTGAGGTTTTGTCCAACACCTTTGATCTTTTGTGGCATTATGATCTGCTCCTCTGGACGGATTCCCCTTCTGTATATATCTTATATTTTTTATATTTCATAGTCCAGCTTGATCCTTTTTTTTGTTTCATTTATAGTCTGTAATGTTTAACCTGGGAGCGTTTAAACAGAAACTGATTTGAGGTCTTAAATTCGCTCTTGTCTTGCTGTTGCTCTTAACTTGAACCCCGGATTAAAGTCATTCACACCATACATCTTTTGAAATCTTCTAATCCAGCTGGACAAATGTAAGGTGATGGCCTCCAAAAAGAAGCCTCTGTGGCTGGAATTTTCCCCCATGCCGTCGCCCACCTCCACCACACCAGTGGGAATAATCTTTAAAGAGGGTGACGACCTCAGACAGGACATGCTAATCATTCAGGTCACAGAGATTATTTTGGTCTTCAATCATTTTAACAACTCACATGAACTTATAAAAAGTAAAGCCTAAGGTTGTATGCATCTCTCTTTAGACTTTGATGGTGATGGACTCGATCTGGCAGGAGAAATCTCTGGACCTCAATCTTATTCCATACGGTTGCATCGCCACAGGGCAGAACATAGGTACCAACATGGTCCTAATTCTTACCGAAAATGAAATAATACTACTAATTATGTGTTGAAGAAAGTTGTTTGGTAGCAAAACATAAAACAGACTGTTACTTACCTGGATCTGTATACCTGATATTTACTGGGTTGGTCCTGGTACATAAAGGACAGGGTACTATAAGGGTACTTAACTGTTATCTACCCAGAACTTTGTAAAGGGCATGTATTGGGTAAGTACCCTCTATGTAACAGAGAAGCACCTGTTAAGTACTTGGTACATTTCAGGTAAGTACTCGTTACCAGATATGCACCAAGCAAGTACCAGGCATGTACCAGGCACTTACTGTGTACGTAAGTACTGCTGGGTACATCCTTGTTCATGTGCCCGGTAGTACCTAGGTAAATACTAGGTATATACCAGAGAAGTACCTATTAAGTATTCAGTATGTGCCAAGTATATATTCAGTACTCACCATGCATGAACCAGGAATGTACCAATTGTGCACATGACAAATTTGAACCACTTTGGCTATGGCTGCCTCAGAGGAGTTGATGGGGGAGATGGCGAGCCCTAGAAACCATCTTATCCCCAGCAAACTGTTTTTTTCCACTATGGCAGTGTGGTGCTTGTGGGACTCCAGTTTGTTTGTGGCTCCTCGGACTGATGAAGTCCTTTGGATGAAGGACAAACATCTCAGCAAAAAAAAAAACTGTCCAAATGACTTGACTGAGCATAGTTGAATTGTGTACATGGTATGTACTCAGTACATACCAAGTAAGTATGTGCTGCCTTGTGCTTACTTGGTACATACCTAAATAAGTACACGGTACATACAGAGGACACCCACCACCACCCTGACAAATAAGAGCTATATGCTGAAGATAAACTGACTTTTGTGTTCATTGTTTTAGATCCAGAAATTTGTGTTTTAAACTGTTTAATTTGTTCTGATGTTGGTACTAAAACAAGTAAATTATTTTTTGATGTTAAGAACAGCTTAAAAACTGAAACCAGAGAGCAAGCATCCTGATGCATGCTCAATAATCCAGGTAGAAAAATCCAGCAAGGTTAATTGAGGTCATCTGTTGAAAAGATAGATACTGTGTCTACTTGAGTGGACTTGCAGAGAGCAAGTACACAACGAGCTATCAAAGTAAGACTATTTTTTAAATCTATAAAAGCATCACCAGTGGTGTGTTTTCAAAGGTTTTATGAACCACTTAAAGAAAAAGTTCAACTGAGTTTTGATGCATTTCTTTCCAAAGGCATGATTGAAATAGTGAGAAATGCAGCGACCATTGCTGCGGTGCAACGAACCCACGGAGGAACCACAGGAGCCTTCAGAAATGATGCTCTGTTCGAGTGGCTCAAATCCAAGGGTCCTCTTCAGGAAATAGTGAGTAAAAAAGGCACACAAGCATACTTTGAATAAGATTTATAGATTTTATTTCCATATTTTCCAGTCTGTTGAGTGCACCTGAATATAAGCTGTGCCCTCTAAAATGAAAAATGAATTTTTTGTACATCCATAAGCCGCACTTGTGAATAGGCCGCAGGTGTCTACATGAGATATTTACACAGAAATATTTTGTAAAACTTTGAATTAAATACGTACTGATAAAATACACAAATACGTACAGTCAATGGTTTTTTTTTTCTGAACAGTGCCTGTAACACAGCTGGTTAAAAATATACAGTAGCCTACCAGGAAGTCACTGATCGCTACCTTCGCCGCTAGTCCTCCAAGCCTCCCATGGAGCTCAGAGTGCCACATTAACGCACGATTCACACTTATTTCGAGTGGCTGCAAATACTTTGTTGTGCCTCCAGGGAAGGGGGGACTTAATTTCAACGGGGAGGAGAGGAGAGAACGGAGTGGACGAAGGAGTGGATCAATGAAACCAAACTTCATTGATCCACTGTGACCTGTTCGGTAGGGGTTGAACAACTACATAATTTTTAAACTCGACATTAACATAATGAAACTCGAGTAGAACTCAAGTAGTTGATGACGTCATAGAATCTAAAAATGCAAAAATAAACAAATAAATAAAACCGCAAAAAAAGGCATTTGTTATTTACAAAAAAACAGACCAACAAAACATTGGGAGTGTGTGTTCTGCTCCAACCATTTATCATACTGCAAATAAGTCACAGGAAAACCAAAACTATTAGTTATTATTATTAAGCTGCAAAAGTGAAAGAAACATGCGGCACGTCAAAAACTAAACTTAAAAACAGTGGGGTGGACGATCACCTCGCACCACCGCCCGCAGTGGTGCACGTTAGGTTTAGTTTTAGAGATTAATATGTTTATAGGTTTTTTTTTTATAGGTTTAGAGTTAATATTTTTTGCTTTTTGTTTGTGAAACAAGGTCAGAGGAAGCTGGTTCTGGTTCGGTCATTGGACCCGGTGTTGCACCATATTCTGTGACCTGCAACAGTGTATGCAGTGGTCACAGAATATGGTGTAACACCGGTTTGCAAGGAGCTCCAAACAGTCAGGAAGTTGATTCATTTTCTGTTTCCTTACGGTAGTTGAACCGGAAGATTCACCTTTAGTGAAATATTCCAGACTATTGATGCATTTCTACCTGTTTGCCAAGACTGGGCCTGCTCCGCTCCATCCATCTGCTTGGAGGAATCCATTTTGTAGCCCGCGCTGGTGCAGATCACGTGACACGTGACGCAATGACGTAACGGCGACCACGAATACTCGATGTGAAATGTAAAAACTTGAGAGATGTCCTAGGAATTGATGTGTCGATTACTTGAGTAGTCTGTTGAAGCCCTACTGTTCGGTAATTTCATTGATCATTTTTTTAACCTTTACTTATAAATGTAGTCTCATTGAGTCATGAGGACACATCCCCCAAGAGAGGCGTGCATTGAGCAGCTATGTGAGCACCCGGGTGTGACGGGGCCAAATGTTTTGGCAGCATGAAGCTTGTTAGCCGGTCCAAAAAAAAATCTATAAATTAGCCACAGCATTGTTTAAGCTGCAGGGTTCAAAGCGTGTGAAAAAAGTAGCTGCTTATAGTCTGGAAATTACGGTAAATAGGAAATTGAGTGCAGGAGAAATATTACTAATTTTGTTTACTAAAAACAACATAATAACTGTTTGCAGCTGCTCCTGGGCCAGAAGAAGTGTTAGATATGTTTGTATTTTCTCTAAATGTTCCCAAAATGAACTGTTTTGAAGTTGGAGTCACACCTGTTTGTCTGTTAGCAAAATTTCTCACAAACCACTGGGCGATTTCAGTGAAACTGATCAAGTCATCATTGCATCTAAACATACAGCTGACTGACTTTTAGAGTCAATCCAACTCAAGTTGATTACTGCTAATTATTGACCTTAGACTACACAGAAATGGCTTTACCTCTGTAGATTATTATTATTTACCAGTAACTGATTATTTTTACCTTAAATATCTGAGTACCTGTTATTATGCAGCACTACAACACTACGGAGAAGTTTGTGAAGTCCTGTGCAGGTTACTGCGTGGCCACTTACGTACTGGGCATAGGAGACCGACACAACGACAACATCATGATCACAGACCAAGGTACGCAGCACAGATCCTTGCTCACAGTTAATAGATGTTCATACAATTATTACTTATTTATAATATTTTGACAAAAGGGCCAGAGTGTTAAAAGACGCACTGAACATATTTCACTGCTCTAATTGTGTATTTTGTTCCTCTCAGGAAACCTGTTCCACATCGACTTCGGTCACATCCTGGGGAACAGAAAGCACTTTCTTGGTGTGAACAGAGAGCGCGCACCGTTCGTGCTCACACCTGATTTCCTGTATGTGATGGGAAGGGTCAAAGGTCGAAACAGCCTCTATTTTCAGCGCTTCAGCGTAAGAGTTGTTTGTTGGTGTGATTGTGTTTCATGATGTGTGACTAATATCCACAAGCTTTAACTTGAAGTGAAGTCCTAAACCATGTTCTTTATTGGTGAATTTTCATTCAACCTTTATTTATACAGGTTAATCTCATTGAGCCTCGAGGACTCATTTACAAGAGGGGCCTGTTTAATATAATCTATAGGCCTATTGTTGTAAATAAAAACAGAATGCATGTGCATTTAAATCAACCTGGTGTTTTTTCAGTCAGATGTTTTAGTAAAAATCTTAATAGGATGCTGACTTGCAGCATGCAGTCGGTAAATTTTGATTTGCATTAGCTGTTCAGAATTAAACAAATTTATTAAATAAAGAAAAGCATAACTTATTTAACATTGTTTGTTCTGCAGCTGAAGTGTCTATGATTATTTATTAATATTTTTAAGCTTTTCGAAGCCATTTGCAATTTAATTAACACAAAACAGAAAACTGGAGTGCCTGTTAGCTTCTTTGACTTTATGGTAAAACAGCAAAGTATCAACTAAAGGGGTTCTGCTCCAGGTCCAATTCTGTTCTTATGTTTTCATTGCCTATAGTATCAGGAACTACAACAAGAGTTATTACTGCAATGCTGATGAAACACAGCTTTATAAATTAGACCATAAATCAGTCATTTTTTGAAATTACTGACTTAGCATGACAAAACATAGGAAATCACAAGAAGCTGTTACCATTAATGAGTGAACTTCTTTAGCAATAAAAAAGGTAACTCTGTGGAAACCTTAATGTAAATTTGGACTGAACAACCTAATCTTAAAGTCTTTGTAAAATTGATCAAATTAAAAACATTTGAAGCAATTCATAATAAATAACATAATATCAAACATATAAATTTTCTCGAGGAGACAAGACGAAGGAGAGCCCTCATGCCCTGAAGGGACACATGCAGCTGGATACACTATGGATTCTTGGGGGCAGTGGAAGATGGTGTGTCTGTCTGTATTGTCCATTGAGGACGTAGAAGACATGTACATAATTGGATTTATGATAACAGGTTTTCTGCTTTTTGGAGTTTGTGAGTATCTGGCATATCGACAAATTCAGAAGACGTCGGCAGCGGTTCTGGCACATTGTGAGGCTGCCTGCCTTGTGTGAAGGAATGTGCCGTGCTTCAAGCACTCGGACTCAGATGCTTTGTGAGCTAAGCCGTAAACTGGCCGTGATTTTTTGAGAATCACTTGCAGCTCCAGGAACTCGCTGGCATGAAGGAATCGACCTTGGAGAAGGCTACAAGCACGGCCCGGTGGAGTGACCACAAAATGTGGCTGTGTGGAGTCGCCGTTGAGACGTACCAGCAGAACTATGAAGGCAGAGAAAAAAAAATCAAGCAGAGTCGAGCTGTCCCAAAACAAATATCTGAATCTGGCTTCCCTGCTTGGTCTTGAATAGGCCAACTATCTCACATTGGAGGTTATGTGAACAAGAAGCTCTGCTCTGCTCTTCCCGAGGACATCTATGGACCTTTATCAGATCTGAGCCGGCTGATAGACACTGTGCCATCTCTTATCAGGACTATGGAACTCTGGCAGTGCCCATGAACAACTCACCTCCTTTGTCAGCCTTCTTATGCGTAAATGTATTATGATGTCATCAGTATGTTGCTGTTTATGTGCGAGGTCTTTTTTTTGTGGCAACTTTCACACTGTGCCCCGTCCAGGACATAGTGCGAGATATATATATATATATATATATATATATATATATATATATATATATA